GGGGGATTCCAATGCAAAATTTGGAAACAAAGAGGCAGGAATAGCAATTGGAGAATATGGCCTTCACAATAGAAACAATGCAAGAGACTGTATGATAGAATTTTCAAGACCAACAACTTGTTCACCGCAAATACCTTTTTTCAACAACACAAAGGGCAACTATACACCTAGACTTCTACAAATTGGAAACACAAAAATCAAATAGATTACTTTGTGTGAAGAGATATTGGAGAATGCTCAATATCAGCAGCCAGGGTCTAACTATGGAACAGATCATCAATTGATGAGATGTAAGGTGAGGTTGAAACTGAAGAAAATTAAAACAAGTCCAAGAGAGCCAAAATACTGCATTGATTATATCCCAACAGAATTTCAAAAATATCTCAAGGACAGATTCATTGCACTGACAGAAACCTGATGAGTTGTGGGATGACATTAAGAACACCATACAATAAGAAGGGTTCCCCCCTCTCCCACTGATGCGTTAGGTCTGATCTGATTTTCAACATTCTTGTATTTTGCTTTTTTGTTTGTTCCTATTGGGGTTTATCTCAGATGTGTTATGTCATTGGGAGTCATCGTCCTGAGTTTGTGTTATATATTTTTTGTTTTTCAGTATATGAAACTAGGATTGTTGAACTTACAGGGACAGCTAGTAGAATAAGAGTTGGGGTGGGGTAGTACAGTCATGGTGTGGGGATCATGAAGGAAGCTGATTTCAAGGATTTCAGTAAGGAAAAGAATGTTTTGAAATTGATTGTGGTAGCAACCGTACAATACTGCTTGATGTGATTGAACTTGGAATGATATGCTATCTATATTAACTCACAATAAAATGGTTTAAAAAAAGCACAGTGTCAATAAAAAGACAGGAGAGAAAGAACAATTAAGAATGGATGTCAGAGAGACTTTGATCTGTTCTTAATTGTAGAATAGCTAATGAAATTGGAAGGCATGATGAAGTAAAAAAATTGAACAGAAAGTTTCAAAGGTCAATTAGAGAATACAATGTAAAATATGATAATGAAGTGTGCAAAGACCAATTGTTAAAAAAAAGCAAAGAAACCATGTTTTTAATATCTTATCTTAAACTGAAAGAACTAAAAAAAGATAAATTCACATTTGAATTCAATTTTAATTGAATTAAATTGAAATCTTTAAAGATTTTATGAGTAAATTATTGAGTGATGCATGGTGCATCTAAAGAATATCGAAATAATACAGAGTCACAATAACAAAAAGAACTAGTTGACATTCAACCATTTCAAGATGTAGCATATGAGCAAGAAACAATGGCAGTAAAGGGTGAAGCTGTACTAAAAGCTTTAGCCCAAAATAAAGCTCCAGGAATTGATGCTCATTAGAGGCAAGGGTGGCAAGAATTGTCTTACATACTTTGGGCATTTTGTCAGGAGAGACCAGTCTCTGAAGAAGTGCATCATGCTTGGTAATGTGGAGGGCGTCAAAAAAGAGGAAGATCCACAAGAGACGGATTTACACAATGGCTGCAACTATGGGCTCAGGCAAAGGAACGATTGTAAGGATGGCACAGGACTGTGCAGTATTTTGTTCTGTTGTGCATAGGAGAGCCATGAGTCAAATACGACTGATGGCACCTAACAACAACAATTAATCTAATTACATTATATGCAATATAGAAAAGAGGAAACCATTCACTAGGGCAGTGGTTCTCAACCTTCCTAGTGCCGCAAACTTTTAATACAGTTCCTCATGTTGTGGTGACCCCCCCAATTATAAAATTATTTTCACTGCTCCTTCATAACTGTAATTTTGCAACTGTTATGAATCAGGTGACCCCTGTGAAAAAGTCGTTTGGCCCCCAAAAGGGTTGGACCCACAGGTTGAGAACCGCTGCACTAGGGGGCAGTAAGTAAGCACAAGTAAATTTGTGAGTACTCTCTTCTTGTCAGGGATTTTTATTTTGTGAAAAAGTGCTGTGGTGTTGGGACTAAGACAGATGACAGGCATACCTAAGTGAAGAATCATTGATGTGGTGAAAAATATGTTAGTAAGCTTAGTAAACGAACACATGTAAAATTATCCCTTCTTTGTTTATTGACTAACCCAACATTGACTTCAACAGGGATTTGATGTGCTTGACACTATCATAGGCCCTTGTACTACAGTAATTAAGAAAAAAATGATCAAATAATCATACACTCTGTTAGTGTTACTTTGACATATGGTAAGCAATTGAACTAAGAAATTAATTTAGGGGTGGGGAATGATTAATTGTTAAGCCAGTTGTCATGGAGGGAGATCACTGGTTAGTTTTGTGTCTGAAACTCTGAGTAAGAGTGTAAAGCTAGGCTCGAAAGTATTCAGTTGAGTACTGAGAGGGCTGGCTTATTTACAAACTTCCTCATCTGCACCTTCGCTTGGGACTTGTTTCAGAGAGCTTACTTTCTGCACACTAGTAGTGTGCTGCAGACAGAGCAGCTAGTCACAGCTCCAGCAGAGAGCCCTAAATACCAGAGATGGGGGTAAAAACGACATTCGATGAGAGCAGGAGCACACAAAAATATATACAGAAAATGAGTTATGGACCGACACTATATTATTTGTATTAAATAATATAAATAATGAACATGTAAAAAATAAATTACAAGAATATATTATACTAATATACTGAAGGTGGGGATTTGAACCTACTCTGTTTGTTTTCAGTGATGATAGGGGGAAAAGCCCTTTTGATCAGCTTTTATAAAGATTACAGCCTAGAGAACCATCTGGAGTGGTTTTACTCTGTAACATATGAGTCAGAATCAGCACAAAGTCAACAGACATTGCATACTTTGTTGCTGTTGTTCGGGGTACTTTGAGTTGGCTCTGACGCAGCACATTTATGGATAGGAGAACAAAGCATTGCCTTGTCATTTGCCACAGTCAGGAAGGTTGCCAAGTGTGAATCCATTGCCTTTGGCTGTTTTGTCACATCATCTCGATTTCCGTGCTTTTCTGGAACCTCTACTTACCAATGATCAAATACAGTTTACATGCTTAGTCTCTCTTGATAATGTATACTAACTGAATTCTAATGACAAAATAAAAGTGGCTTACAAGTATGAATATGCCATGAGGGAAGCAAAACACCATAAAACAAGGTGATCAGGTATGTTCCAAAGTCAGATTGCAGTATTAAATATGGTGACTATTAAAGATTTAATTGTATCCCACCATCACCACCAAGTGTGTCAACTTGGTTTTTCCCATGGTGTGGACATTATGTAATCATGCAATGTAGCCATTATTCCAAGATACGCCATGATGCTGAGTGTGGAATACAATGATCAGTCCCACCACAACTCTGATTTGACATAGGGGAAAATTCCCTGGAGTATAGCCTGCAAATCCCTTTATCTTTGTAAACTATAGAAGTGAGCAGAGATATGGGGATTTACTACCACCAAGAAAAAGGTAGCTTTGCAATGGCTTCCCGGCACTGCGATCCCGGCACTGTGAAGCTCCCGAGCAAAGGGAAAAATCAGTGCCATGACATCTGTACCTACAGATGCTGACAGGAGACCTTTCATTTCAAGAGCCATTGTAGGTATAGTGTCCCCATAGAACTGAATCTGTACATCTAGCAGTCTAAATTGTAAGAGAATTTTTTTGTTTATTAAAATCTTCCACTTTTAGTATTTATGCTATCGCAGCACTAGGTAAATAATATAATAATCATACTAAGTTATCATTAAGAGTTTGAAATTTGTGCAAAGATATGAAGGAGATTGGAAATCAACCAAGCTGATATGTGAGTAAAACTATTAGATTAAGAAAAATTGTTTACACATGAATCCATTGAACTTGTCCAAAAAAGTTTGAGAGACACTAATGAGGCTTATATAACTGAAGTGTTGACAATAAGCAAATGAGATGTAATGGAATCCTAAGTATATAGCCAAAATGCAAACTAAGTAGATTTTGTGAAAATTTTATATTTTACTGTTATTTTTATGGGGATACATAGCAATGTTCTGCAACCAAAAGTAACATTGTTTCTTATACTTCTTTTATTCTTCCTGACCATGACAAATTCATTGATGTCAGATATTCTTCTGCAATAAATAAATATGAAATGAGTAAAAATAATTGCAGTCACTGTTTTCAGACTTTGGTAATAACCAGCTCCAGACTGAGAACTTGTATGTTCATATAGAACACGCAAAAAAATACTCCTATTAAATGATAAGCACATTTCTACACTGAAAAGTGTAAGAAAAAAATGTAGAAATTAAAGATAATTTGAAAATATACTATTCTCATGAATTGACAACTCAACACCAAAATATCAAATTGATGGGTCCTGCACAACATCTATTGAAAGTACTGAGGAGCAACGATAACACGGGGAGGACCAAAGGCGCTCCTTATCCAAGCTACACGGTTTCCAATGTGCAGGTGAAAGTAGGACTTCGAATGAAGGAGGCCAAAGAAGAGTCAATTCACTTGAGTACTGGTGCTGGAAAAGAATATTGAAAGTACCACAGACTGCCACAAGAACAAGCAAATCCGTCTTAAAAAGAATTACAGCCAAAATATTCATTAGCACTGAGGATAGCAGGATGTTGTCTCATACACTTTGGACACACAGGTCCTCACAGTATGACACACTGATAGATAGGGTGGTCTCAAAATAATAGGCTCAAATATAATACAAACTTCATATTGTATTGTAGGACTTGAATCTTTGGTTTGGAAAAGTAATATCATTACTTAAGGGGATGTCTTTGTGAATTATGCTTCTATTCTACCTCCTAGTTCATCATACAATGTGTGGCTTCTTAAACCCTTGCAAGTAGCCATCAAGAAAACAGAACAAACTCACAATGATCAAGTCTGTTCCAACTCATAGAGATCCTGTAGAACACAGCAGAATTGCTCCTTAGGATTGCAGAGCCTGCGAATCTCTATAACAGACAGTAGCATCCTTCTGTCTCAATAATGGATTACTTCTGGGCAATTTAAAATAAACTATTGTGCTGACTTCAGCAGCACATATATTAAAATTGGAACAATATAGAGATGATTAACATAGCCTCTGTGCAAGGACAACATGTAATTTCATGATGCATTCAGGTCCATACCTATTTTGAGTTGTACAGCATTTTCAAAGAAAACATCAATATTATATGATTTGGAAACTCCACAAAATGAACTGGACTTGTTTTATACACCAATGTTGCATATTAATTGAATTGAAATACTCCTTTGAAATAAAACTTGAAACCCCCTATTGTGAGAAGCAGCAAAGGTTGTGTGTTTAAAGTCATTGGATGTGGTTCAAATGATTTTTAACTTACGATTAGTATATCCTTCCTATTTTAATACTTTAATTGTTTTTATGATATGCCTTCGTCTTAAAGAAATAATCTTGCCTTACCGAATGAAACTATTGGAAATTGTCCTTGTGTCTAACCTTCATTCCACCACTAGGTTATCAGTTTGTCACACAGTGGCGATTTGTGTAGAGCGATGGCACCAGTATTTCAAATGCCTGCTGGAATCCCAAATGAACAGGTTTCAGCTGAGCTTCCAAAGTCAGAACAGACAACAAAGAAGGAGTTGGCTGTCCACTTTGAAGGAAGTAGCCACCGCAAACCTTATTCATATCTCAAAACTATCAGATTCAGGAAGCCCGATGAATCGAAGCAGAGAAGTATCAGAGATAGTGTCAGAGAATGGGCCACTGGGTCAGAAAGCACTAAAAATGTGACGAAGGAGCTGCTTTCTAAGAGTACTCTACATGGTGATGTGCATGAAGTAAAGTCTGTGGGACTGAGGTCTTCGATTAATGAGGGGGCATAAGATAAGGTAGAAAGATACAGCTACAAAAATCTACTAAGGATGGGAACTTGGAATGTGCACCGTACAAATATAAAAATTGGAAAGCATCAAAAATGAAATGGTATGCATAAAAATTGATCTCCTAGGCAGGGGTACACTGGAATGGATGATTTGGGACATTTTGAACCAGAAAATCATGGTTTACTATGCTGGAATGAAATAATCCAGAGGAATATCATCGCATTCATTGTCAGAAAAGACTTTTCAAAATTAATCTTAAAATACAATGCTGACTATGATAGGGTTATATCTATCTACCTTCAAAGAAATATGATCAATACATCTATTTTTTAAATATGTACTGTGGCAGTTACATAATCTCCTATAAACTTGAGGAAAGATTTGGAGTCTAGGCTGCCCATCAGGTCGCAGTGTGATGACTTCATTTGGAGGCACAACAGAGATAAATAGCTCACTGGAGGCCAGACACACAATATCTCTACTTTGCATTCCTGATGACAAGCTACATGGAGTTACACTGATATAGCCAGAGCTCTAGAACTGGAGGAGCCCCGGGGCAACCCATGCCAGTGCTGAGATGCTTCCACCACCTCTGAATCTACAAGACTTTCCACCCACTGGCCTGTAATCTTCCTGCATTCAGTATCGTTGCATGGCTGTGTGAATCTAAAGAGGAATTATGGACGAGTATCAACATATAGGGTAATATCAGACTTATAGACTTGATCTGAACTGGGCTGAGATGTTTTCTTAATAATACACTTGCTCTTTAAAATAAAGTTCCCTTTTACACACATGAGTGTTTCTGGATTTGTTTCCTAGTCAACCCAGATTAACAGATACACCAGCCACAAAAGCTAGTGATGGAGACACTGAAGAATTTTATGGATAGCTTCAGTCAGAAAATGATGAAATTTTCAGTGAAGACACACTGACATTTATTAGGAATTGGAATGTGAAAGTTGGAAACAAAGAGGAAGGCAGAGTAGTTGGAAAACATGGGCTTGGTAATAAGACAAAAATGGAGATTGCATGATAAAACTTTGCAAGACAAATGACCTTTTCATAGCAAATAGCTTTTTTTCCAGACACAAAAGGGGGCTATACACATGTATTTCATGAGGAATAACACACAGAACTCAAATTGACTACATCGGTGGGGAGAGACCATGGAGAAGCTCAGTATCAGGAGCTAAAACCAGACCAGGAGCTGAGTGTGGAAAAAAACACTTAATTGCTTATTCCAGCTCAAGTGGAAGCTGAAGAAAATTAAAAGAAATACAAAAGAGCCAAAATATGAACTTACGTCTATCCAATCTGAATTTTGAAAACATCTCAAGAACACACTTGAAAAATTGAACATTAATGACAGAAGACCTCTCAGCTACAGGAGGACATCAAGAACATCATTCATAAAAAAATCAAAGGCTCATTAAAAAGACAGAAATAAAGAAAATATCAAAGTGGATGTCAGAATAGACTCTGAAACTCCCTTTTAATCATAGCATAGCTAAAGTAAATGAAAGAAAATATGCAAAGAACTAAATAGAAAATTTCAAAAGGCAGTTTTAGAAGAAAGTAAAATATTATAATGAAATGTGCAAAGGCCTAGAGTTAGAAAACCAAAAGAGAAAACAGTACTAAGAATACCTTAAATTGGAAGAACAGAAGAAAAATTCAAGCCTCAAGTTTTAATACCGTAGTGAAAGATTCTATGGGCAAGATATTGAATGATGCAAAATGAATTTTAAAAGATAGAAAGAATATAGTCACTTAAAAAAAAAAGAATTAATTGACATTTCACCTTTTCAGTGGGTACTACCAGAATAAGAACCAATAGTGCTGAAGGAAGAAATTCAAGCTCCACTGAAAGCACTAACCAAAAACAAGGCTCTAGGGACTGTTGGAATATCACTGGAAGTGTTTCAACAAGCTGACCGAGCTCTGGAAGTACTTATTCTTCTATGCCAGGAAATTTGGAAGACAGCTACTTGGCCAACTGACACAAAGAGATTAATATTTATACCCATTCCAAAGAAAGGTGATCCAATAGAATGCTCAATTTATAGAACAGTGCTATTGATATCACAAGCAAGTAAATTTTTGCTGAAGATCATCCAACAAAGTTTGCAGCGATACATTTACAGGGAGCTGCTAGAGTTTCAGGCCAGATTCAGAAGAGGTGCAAACAATTCTGTCACTGCTGATGTCAGAGAGATATTGGCTGAAAGCAGAGAATACCAGAAAGATGTTTACTTGTGTTTTATTGACTCTACCAATGCATTCAACTGTGTTGATTAAAACAAACATGGATAACCTTGAGAAAAATGGAAATCCTAGAACAATTCATTGTGTTCATGCTGAACTTGTGCATAGATCAAGAGGCAGCTGTGCAAACAGAACAAGGGAATCGTATATGGTTTAAAATCCAGAAAGGTGTGATAGTTTGATTTCTTGACTGTTTCCATGAGCATTGGAACAATGCTCCTACCATATTTATCCAATCTGTCTGCTGAACCAATTATCAGATAATCTAACTGTTATGAAGAAAAATGAGGCATCAGGATCAGATGAAGTCTTATTAACAATCTGCAATATGCTGATGGCATGACAATCTTGTTTGCTGAAAGTGAGGAGGACGTGAAGCACTTTATGATAAAGATCAAGGTTGCAGCCTTCAGTATGGATTAAAACTCAATGTCAAGAAAGTCAAAATCCTCACTACTGGACCAACAGGTAACATCTTGGTAAGTGAAGAAGCGGTTGATATTGTCTTGCTTGTATTCATAATCAATGCTCATGGAAGCAGTCAAGAGATCAAACTATGTATTGCATTGGGAAAATCTGTTGCTGAAAATTTCTTTAGAGTATTTAAAAGCAAGGAAATTACTTTGAGAATTAGGCTATGTCTGACTCAAGCCATGGTATTTTCCATTGTCTAATAGGTATGTTAAAAGTTGAACATTGATAAGGAAGGTGGAAGAAAAATCAATGCATTTGAATTGTTGTGCTTTAAAACAATATTCAAAATACCATGGACCAGTAAATAGACAAATAAACCTGTCTTGGGAAAAATAAATCCATAATTCTCCTTAGAGACAAAGATAGCACGATTCTATCTCCCTTACTTGGATGTGTAAAAAGTGACCCGTCCTTAGAGCAGGACATCATGCTTAGTAATTAGAGGGTCAGTGAAAAAGTGGAAGGGCCTCACGATGATGGATTGATGCAGTGGCTGCAACAGTGTAAGGACGGCACAGGACCTGAGGTCCTCCATTCTGTTGTGCGGGGTCCCTGTGGGTCAGAGCTGACTGGATGGCTCTTAATCACAACAGCTCTCACTGTTTTATTAAACAATATTTAGTTAAGCTTTTAAGCCATGCAAGTGAACATTCCATATATTTTAGTCTAAAAAACTTTCCTACATATTGATATTTACATTTCTCAATAATACGTTAAAAATTAATGACACTATTTTACAATTGTCTAATGTCTCATGGAGGCTACTTAAATTAATAACCAACAAGGCGATAATTCCACTTAAGTGGATCACGGGTGTATGTAAATTTACATATGTGGATAGATTTTGAGCTTGAATTTAATCGTAGTGCTAATATAAGAACAATTTATCTTTACCATGTAACCCTGCTCAATATTTGCCCTTTTAATGTGATCAATGACAATATGGGTGCTGTGGAAAAGGATGGTGAAGAAATCACATGGTACCTAGCTCTCAGGGAAAATATCATCTTGAGTCTTAAAGGATTTTCTTAAAACAGGGAGCCATATAAGTGATGTCTCAGCTAAGTCCACATAGAAGGAGCACACCAACCTATGTGAATGATCCAAAGCTTATAAATTATAAAATCCAAGATCAAAAAAGGAATTGTATAGCATTTACATAATGAGCACCCAGTTTGCAGAGTGGTATGGATGAAAAAGAAAGCCCATAATCCATTTGCCAAGTACCTATGTAGATTAAACTTCACTGAGCTCCCTTAGACTATTGACTAGGAATATGAACAATCATATTTCAGGTACATTGCATTGAAAAATGGATTACTACAGATATAGTTAGGTTATCATTTAACACATTATCACTCATATTTTTCCTTTTGATCCATTTTTAATTTGTTCTTATTTCTATTATATTTCATTTTATTTTGGAGAAAAATAAGCAAATAAACTATTGATTCAGGCAAAAATATAGGTTAATCTCACAAAAATTTAATTAAGCTAAAATAGGAATAAAATATCATTCTAATTGAATACATTTCT